AGGTGATATTTAATTTATAAATCCTACTGTTAAAACAAAATTCCTTGTCTTATTACATTTCTTTGTTTTTATATATGATATTCTTATATTTTGAGCATGAAATTTTGAGCATGAAAAATTGAGTGTCACTCAAATTCTCTTCTCCTCTCTCCAGTCTTCCCTTTGCAACCATTTAACGTCCATGGAAAGTCATTAATTTTTGCATCCGGGTTGGCTTACTTAGTTCAGATCCTTGAGATAAATTGTAAATGGCAAAATAAACATGATACACTTCATGATAGGTCCTGAGTGCCATCACCATGATTAAAAGTCTCAGCAATGTCTGTTTTCTTTCATGTCCAATGACAAGGCCTTGTCTCTGTCTCATCTCACAGCCCCGACCTCTGCTCCCAAAGATCTGACAGTCATTACTCGGGAAGGGAAGCCTCGTGCTGTCATTGTGAGCTGGCAGCCTCCCTTGGAAGCCAATGGGAAAATTACTGGTAAGCACCTCGGCTTTCTTTCCAAGTGTAGCTGGGCCGTGGCCTGTGACTGCTCACCTTGCGCCCTGCTCTTGCCTTTTGTGCAGTGGTTTTCTGTCTCTGCATCTCGGTTGACTCCTGGCCCTCTCTGACTGGCTCCTCTTGCCCTCACTGATGAGGGGTTTCTTCTAAAGGCCCATGTGAATACACACACAGACACATTTCGTTTGAGCCACACCATGAAAGATGTGTGTTTCAGTTAGGATAGATCTTTTGTCTTTCATTCAGTGAAGCATTAAGACAATCTCCTAATGGAGTGCCTCTGAGGACAAACAACTAAAAAGGAGATGGTGGTTTAGCAATTATGAAATACAGAAGATGCCTGATGACCACGTATCTTTGTATGGCACGTGTGAAAGAGGTTTGTCTTAGGATTTTTAGTTTTTCACGTTAGCTTTTAGCTTCTTATTTAAATCACGAGGCTCAGAAAACACTTAATATTGACTGACAGAAATTGAACATAATGAATATTTTGCAGTGACAGATTTTATTTTGCCAAATATTGCTGATAACATCAATGCCTAATTAAAACATCCATTAGAAGCCTGTAATGCTAATTTAGTATGAAAAATATAATGGAATTCTATCAGAGATTTTACATTTAAATGATCACTTTAGGCTTTTAATAGATGTCTCCATAGCATATAATTATAATGAAAAATATTGTATCATTCAACATGCACACATTATAGTTTAATTAACTTGAACCACTGGGTAAGGAGTACGTAAGAGTCACTCTTTTTTCTTCATTTTTGCATGGAAGAGGTAGACAGTCCTGTTATACATTAACAAAGTCATTCAGTCATTCAGCGATACAGAGATAAGCAGTTTCAGACGACGCACTTACTTTATGTGAGTTACTTTCTGAAGTTCGCAGAATGAAAAGATAATGTAAAAATTCCAAATGTGATTTACATTTAAGTTGAAGTTATGTTTTCTCTAGGAAATTGCTCTTAGTGCAGTAGCAAACAGAATTTTCATTTGATCTGACAAATACGAGACAAGAAGAGAGGAGGCATAAAATCTCCCCAAGATCTTACACGTTCAGTTGTCAGCCTGCCAGGCTTTTTTAACACTGAGGCTGGCTTAGTCCAATTTGCTTCTCTGCCCCTCAGTGCTCTCATCTGTTTTCATCGGTTCCCTGTCGGTACTTGTGTAGTTTTTGATTTGTTTATATTTTATTTTGTTAGAAACGGTTACTCATAAGCATATGGTAAACCAACAAAGAAGTTGGAGAGGAAGCAAAAAACCAAATAAAACTGGTCTAAATGAAAAGAAGTTCTGATAAAACAAATATATTTTCGGTGAAAGATAAAATAAGTCATAATCTCCACCCCTTTGAATTCTCCACTCATATTTAAATAAGTCTTACTGGTTAATAGAAGCAATAGAACATGTTTCCTAACTCTGAAGAACTTCATTTTGCTTTTCCTGGGAAAAATAGAAATCCAGCCTGTAAGAAATGCAAATTAAGTAAGCAATAAGATTTTATGTGTCAAAATTGTAGTGTGTGTGTGTGTGTAAGGAACTTGGGGCACATACTTCATTTACAGTTGTGTATTCATTAGTTTTCATTCCTAAAAATCCATTCTCCCATAAGAAGAAGCAAATGGATGAGAAGCAATGCTATTGGCTTGTAAGTGCCTGGCTCATTTATGAAAACAAAATCATGCTTATCAACTTGAAATAGATTGACTCAATTTAATAGGAAGGAAGCACTAAGAATCGTTAAGATAATGTCTGCTGCATGTGTACGTTGATTGTTGCATTCAAATTACTTCCAGAAAATAAAATGATAAAATATTCAAAATACCAGACCACCAGGCAGAAGGGCCAAATTCGCTGGCCTTCTCATGGAGATGCAGAGGAAGACATCAGTTCTTTCCCAGTGAGGCAGGGCAGCTCTGTGCCTGTGAATGATGTGCTCTTATTCTACCTCTGTCTGTCTTTATCTTTCCAACCCCTTCATGTGCATAGCAGGCAGTAGAGCAGGGTGGTTAAGAACCCACCCTTCTAAGGACGGTGCTGGAGCAACTCAACCTCCTTGAGTATGACACTCTCACTTTTTCACCCATAAAATAAGGCTAGCAATAGAACTTTTCACTAAGAATTGTTACCATCAAGCGCTGAGAAAGTGACGGATGCCACTGGGCATTGAAACACACTGGCTATTATTATTCCAATTTGAGATCTATCTAACCTAAGACTTCACTAATTGTGTTTGAATAGAATTCAGATGATCATTTGTAAATGTAAGTACTTCCAAAAGATTAAACAACAACAAAAAAAAAGATGATGAAGAAAGGAATTCAGATAATTCCAGCGCCTGAATTCCCTGATCATAAAGTGGCAATTTAGGAATTTGGACTGATATGTTCAAAAGAAAATGGTTCAAAATAAATTAAACATTAGTTATAAGCTGGCGTTCTGCTAAGCAGTTTAGTATTCTAAGTGGTTAGATATTCCTGTTATTCTATTTAGAAATGAAAATATTTGGGTTTTATAAGGTAAATAACGTGTCCGAAGTCGAATAACCAAGAAACAGAATAATCAGAGCTAGGATTTAAAGCTCAAGTGTCTCCTCCCCTATTAGACTATGTTTTGCTCTAACTGAGTACCATTCTACTTGTCTAAACCAGTGATTCTCCATTAATTTTTAACTTAATTCGTATGAGGAGGGACTGAGCCTGGTAATTTTTAAAAGCTCCCTAAGCGATGTTAACGCACAGACAGAATAGTAAATCTTTAGTCTAAATAAACGCAGTGCCCAACACTATTTAGGATGAGGGATCCACACAGAGGATTAGGTTCTCAGAGATGGTTTCCTTATCAATACATTCTGAAGGCTAAGGTGATACTCTCTTTTTCTGTGTCATTTGATACTGTAGTTGTAAAATCACTTTTCTTGCCACTTGCCAGGCTTCCCAATCTCATTTGTGAGAATTTCTTCTACCTGTTCCCTAAGTGGTATTCCCCAGAATGCAGATCTTTTTAGTCCCTTTGTTACTTTCTCTGAAAAAGTGTCTACACTAGAGTCGGAGCTTCAGTGAATATCCACTTGTATCTTTGAAATCTTTATCTTCATCCAAGACCTAAACCTACCTAACTTCATATCGCATACATTTATAGGTGTCTAACAGATTGGCATCTAATTTCCCCATTCCATTCTTTCACCTTCACCCTTTTAAAAATTTGTCTACTGCCCACCACAGCTGGCCAAATAATGCACCATTATTTCCTATAGTTAGTTGTAAGATCATCTGAGATTGTGGACTCAGTTGGAAAAATACCCGAGAATCAAATGTGTCTTAATAGTTTTACACCTGGCTTTCCAAAAGTCTCCACAGTTTATCCTGTAGCCCAAGTTGGAGATGTAATCATCATGGCTCTTCCTCTTTATCCCCTTCCCAAATAATCGTAAAAGAAAATCTACATGTTTATAAAAAATGGCTGAGGAGTCTGTGTGAACAAGCTCCTGATTCTGTTCAACCTCTTCTCCCCAGTAACAACATTCCTGACACCTAGTGTGTAATAAATAAATAATTATTTGTTGAATAATTAATCAGTGAATTCATATGAAATATGTTCCCTCTGTTTGACTTGAAACCAAAATTCTAGCTCTTCTAAGGAAGACATTTTCTTAAGGTTTAGGAATAACATGAAATAAATTATTTATCTACTTAGACAGAGTCTCACTTTGTCACCTTGGTAGACTGCCATGGCGTCATCTGACAACCTCAAACTCTTTGGCTCAGATGATTCTCTTGCCTCAGCCTTCCTAGGAGCTGGGACTACAGGCACTTGCCACAATACCTGGCTATTTTCTGAGATGGGGTCTCACCCAGACTGGTTCCAAGGTTCTGAGCTCAGGCAATCCACCCACCTCAGCCTCTCAGAGTGCTAGGATTACAGGCGTGAGCTACTCCACTTGGCCCATATGAAATAAATTTTAAAAACTAAAGCATTTATGAAGCAGTTGCTATACATAAGATGATGTAATAGAAATACTTGCATTATGTTAAGTTCTTAAAAATATATAACAGCCACCTGCTTTCAGGTGAGAAGATTAAGACATACTTCGATCAAGCAAGTTGCTCAAGGTTATTACAGCCAGAAAACAATAGAGCTATGACTTGAAATATAATCCTTCTGAATCCATAGCCTACAGTTTTTGACCACAAAGAAGGAAGAAATGGGTCCTTCTTTGTCTCTCTACCTATATACATAGTTTTCAGAATCAATTTTTTTTTCAAGATTCAAAGCCCTTACTATACTGTGTGCTTTGCTGATAAGGGTCATATCACATAGCTTGGTTTTTCCAATACTTAGCAGCCCACCTAATTCATAGAAGATAAGCAGTAATGAATGGGAAATAATTTGAAGAAAGGAGAATGGGAAATAGTATGAAGAATGTATGTTAAATACATTCTGACACTTTGCTTCTGAAATTATAACTGCCTAATTGTATAAGTAGAGTCCAAATGACAAATGTGTGAGTTACATTTTATATGCATGAGACAAATGTGATTTCAATGTGGGGGTGACCAGAGGAGTACACAATTCCAGAAGTTTTAGAACTTCTGATAGCATATAATATTTCCTTAGTTGGCCAGTGTGGTAGATAAGAGACAAAAATGAGATAAAAAAAAAAAAGGAAAGGAAAATAATGGAGAAAGACTGAGAGTTGGACACAGAGAAATATACAGTGTACAGGTATTTAATGGTAATGAGAAACCAATGAATTTTTTCCAAGATGTATGATTAAGTGGAAATCTATAAGGTAAGACTTCAAAGATAGATTTAATATTTTTCAGATATACCAAACGTACACATCCAAATGAAGTTGTATGTTTTCTCTAAGGCCATTTATTAGAGTTGTGAGTGATGTAGTTCGTTTCTGTTATCTATCTAAGTTCTTAAATGAAATAAGGAAAGGTAAGTTCCCCCCAAATATTAGGAGATTTCTCAACTACAATTTTGAATTTTCAGAAGCTGGTGCTTACACATTCAACTTTAGCTACCTGATTCTTTAAAGACTTGAATGAATATTTTTTATGTAGATAAAAACAAAACATAAGCAAATATTTTATTTTCATCTGATAAGTTAAAAAAAAAAAGAAAAACAGGAATAAGTGTAGCTGTCCTGGGATGGGAGCACAATTCTTCAAACTTTCAGCTTCATCATGCATTTCCAATGACCCTTGAAAACTCCAACAATTCCATTAGATATCTAAGTGTAAAATGTCTGTGCTTACAGAAGGAAATATTTCATTCAATAAGTGAGTTGCAATACATCCTATGTGAAGACTATTTTATTAGGTTTTTTGAGGAATAAAAAAGTAATATAAAATACGGCTCTTGAACTAAAGAATATTTTTATCCTTTTGAAGAGATAAGACATGCTCATAATGAAAGTTATGTCTACCTACATATATATAAATGCGACCTTACTGGATAGGTAGAATTTGGATAGAGAAAGTGAGGAACGGTAGAATGGTATGAAAAAAGGCAAGAAGGATGAAAGTGATTTTGAGACTAGCCTTTCTGTAGTGAGGGCTTGTGCTGAGATATAAAGAGTGTGCATGGTTATTCCAGGAGGGAAGTGAATCTGGGTCAGAGTACTCTGTGACATAAGCATCGTAAAGACCTGTGAGTGAAGGTCCCTTGCCCACGTGGGGAAAGGGAAACTCTAACGGAAAGAAAAGATGAACCAAAGAAAGGCAGTTGTTTCTGAGAAAATTATTTACAAAGAATGTATTCCATACTTACTAGAATTACAGGCATCTGTGGCTTATGTGATACAGGTATCATTGGAGAATTTTGGCAGAAATGGAGGTCAGCACCGTATTCATGTAGCAAAGACAACCATGATGACCCCCTTTACAGTTCAGTCTGACAGTATGACACAAAATTACTAATTAGTGCTGTAAATAAGAGCAAGATCACAAATTGGCTATGTATAGTGTTATAATATGAATATTTTATAGGAATCCCTGGATTTGTTTGAGTGTGTATTAGTCTATCATGAATTGAGTACACTGCTAGCATTGAAGGCACATGTCTCCTACACAGAAAATAAATAACACTATCAACAGATCAGTTAGAAGTATTTGAGATACTAACGAGATCACCTATAGTTACTCAGCACTACTTGTTTATCTGCTTAATCAGACTGGACTAGGGCAGATAGTGTTGGGGTTTTAAGATTGTGGGAAAGATATCTATCATTCCAGTCCTTTTCCTAGCTAGCTTGGGTCACCCTCAGCTTTGTCATCTGTGAAAGGACAGCAACATTGCCCCTGCCAACCTCCCAGAGGCATTACAATAATCAAACGTGATCATTTATTTTTATAACACTCTGAACACATATTACCTTTTATACTTTCCAGTACAATTTTTATTATTTAAGCATGAGCCAAAATAAGTATTATCTTCATTGCTGTAATACAGTGAAAATTACACAGACTTGTTACCTGTGTTTCTCATTTTTCATCATGCTTAGATATTAGAACGTAGTCATAAGTAGGATTTATAGGTAGCAGATAGCATGCAATTTTAAATGGGGCAGATATTTTTATTGCTAACAGCATATTCCATTTTCTGATTCTCTATATTGAAACAATTATCTAAGGCTTGAAATATGAAAAGAAAAGACATTACTTGCAAAACTAAATACTATCGTTGATAGACTGTGTGTATACAATAATCGTTGTAAATTATATTTGGGAAACAAAGGTGTTTAAAAACGGAAGGGCACCGCACGCAGTCAGTACACTAACCACCCTCACATTCATCGTTCACACAGCTTACATCTTGTTTTATACGTTGGACAAGAACATCCCCATCGATGACTGGATTATGGAAACGATCAGTGGGGATCGGCTGACTCATCAAATCATGGATCTCAACCTTGACACTATGTATTACTTTCGAATTCAAGCTCGGAATGCAAAAGGAGTGGGGCCCCTCTCTGACCCCATCCTCTTCAGGACGCTGAAAGGTTTGTGTCATGTTCTACCTTTCTCCCCCTATGGGACTGTTATGAAATAGCTTAGTGGCCTGTGTGGGAAACGCCCCCCCACCACCACAACCTCTGTTCACGACATGGCCACAGTGGACGTTCACAATAAATTGAAATGTATTTTTTTATCCTCAAAGCTGACATGTCAAAGAAAGATCTATCACACTGTCTCATTTTCTGCCATCAGCCCAAGGCCGACATATTTAACTTGACTTTTTTTCATTTACAATCCTTATGGAATTTCGTATTGATGTCATGTATATTGGTTCTATTCAAAATGTAATGAAACCCTTCAGCCATTTTATGTAAAGGAATAAAAATTAAAATGCATTGAATTATGTGAATGGCATACTACTGTCAACTTCAAATATTTTCTTTCAGGAACTATAGGCCTTAGATATTAAAGGAAATTTTATTATGGCAAGACAGAAAATTTCAACCAAAATGAGTGTGCTTATTTTAAAGAGCAATAGGATAGAAACAATGAACAAAATCTCACTGTATGATTACCAGAAGGAAAATGTCATACAGAAAAATATCAAGGCCCAAGAATAGTGATTATATAAGCATAATTTTTATAGAAGTCCTCACTGTTTCAGAATACATTATTATTTTTCTGAGGGACAAATGGCTTCAAGAGTATCACTTAACCATCAAAAATATTATAATTTGAATGTTTTATAGCTGATGTTTAAAGATGTATATTTAAAGCATGCTACATTAAAGAAAGGTAACTTAGCTCTTCAGCGCGTGACTACATTATAATTCAATATCTGGCAGGAAACGATGATACCTAATGGCAAACGACTAAAAAAAATAGGAACACGTGAGAATTGACATTTTCACCCCCTTTGGCATCCTAAAAGAAGAGAGTTAGAATAGTTGTACAGACTATTTCTCAATTCTACTTGGAAAGGTACCCTGATAGAATGTGGACTTTTACATTCTGATGAGGGAGCTATTCAAACGCTGGATTTTGGTAACAGCTCATCTGGAAGTTTGCCAAAATCACACAAACAAGCATTCAGCTGGAGCCTGCATGACAGTTCTTAAAGACAGAGTAGAGGCTGGGAGGGAGAGGGGAGGGAAGAAATGAACGATTCTTCAGCTGTCCAGGTTTTGAGGACTTCATGTCTAAATCAGGTTTCACTCTGAATGAGCAATCGACAGGCAACTGGTTATTCATTTTGCGGGAGCATGAAATGTAACTAGATAGTGTTTTGCAAATGCTTCATCTTTATCCGTAGATAAGTGCCAAATTAATTTCACGCTCATAACGTGGGCCAACTAAGAGATCTGGGGGAGGATTTGAGATGACTTAAGGCATTCAAATGTATCAAAAAGCAGAGCAATGAGTTATCGCCTGATTTACAGACCCACGTGGATAGCCATCCTGTAGCTTATTTAATGAGCTCAATATTTCTTTTGGTGCTCTTTTCTCTAAGTGTCCTAAACACATCTAGAAAATGATTTTCAGAACTGAGAATAAGTTCAGGAATTTTTTTCTATGACATAATAGTGCACAAGAGTTATTTCTACTATCCTGATTTGATGTATAATATTCTTTGCCCTAAATATGTCATGTTTGATAATAGCCTTTTAAACAAAGATTGCTCACATGTTAAAAACATACAAGTTTCTGATGATTCTAAATTAGTCAGACATATTAATTTGCCCACCTTTATCAATGATTTTGTAATTTTCTTACAAAGATGAAACATGTTCTAAGATGTATAAATCACTTATCATAAAACATACAGAGCCACAATGAACCAAATCTACACCAAAGACACAAATTCATGCTGTGGCTCTCTGATTTAAGATTTTCAGTTCCCAAAGTTGCTTCGAAACATAAGCCCCTCTATTCATCAGAAAGCAACTTTGTTTGAATGAAGGAAAGGCTTAGGTGAGAGTCCCGAAGCTGAAGAAACTCCCCGTAGTCTACGAGGTAATGGACAAGGAGGTCATTGCAAATCTTGCTGTTAGGCACGTATCCATGAGCCTCATTCAGTCTTTGCAAAGCTAGCAACATTTTCCACTAGAGACTAGAGTTTTGTTTTTTTCAGTATTAGCAACCAGCCAAAGAGGCACAGGAAATTCATCAGTAATCGCTGGTTAATTGAATGGACAATTATAATTAGAAAGGGATTATTTTACTATGAACTTATGTACGTGCATAGATGTGATGTATCTAATTCTTTCTTTGGAATGTTAATTAAAAGAATCTTGAACTTAATTCTCTGCCACACAGGGCTCCGCAAATACCCACCTCCTTTCTGCAAATCCTCCGCAGGATACTTAGGTACTGTCAGATCACTGGCTGACATGTCTATCTCTGTCCTGTCCCAAGGGTCATTCTCACTGGTACAATATGGTTGGCCATGTTGGTCTACAAAGTACCAGTGAGAAAGGATGTTCCCAATGGAGCAGACCACAGAGGAGTCTTGCAGAAGAAGGGAATCACCCCTACACACACACAAAAGTGGAGTCTTCAGACTGAAAGCCCAAAAGAGTACAGTCAATTCTCTGGGCAACCTTAATCAGCCTTCTGAATTATGCCTTCCCCCTAACAGAGACTACAGCACCCAAAGCTCTGGACTAGCCTAGAGTTTAGTCTTCAGATTGCTTTGTATCAACATACATAATTTTTCTTGACAAATGATAGAAGCAATTAAAAATTCAAGGCACAAATTACAATACTTTTAAGCAGTTTCTTATCTTTAATGAAAAGTACTGGTGAAAATCCATATGGTTCCTGTTAAGCAATACTCTTCAGTAGATAACCTTTTTTTTAAGACATTCAAAATTCTTTAAGTTATATTTAGGTTAATGTTGCTAAAAGATAAACAAATCCAAAAGATAAAAAGGAGAATGGGATTTTCCACCAAAGGGCAGGGTAATTTGTCCCTGGCTACAAACAAAAATATCTGAGAGAGCAGACAGTGCATGCATGTGATTAAAGTTAAAGGGAATGGGGATGAGGGTGATATTCTTTTGGGGGGATCATTCCAAATGGTTCTCCCCTAAACATGAGGTGCTAATTAGGATAGTTTCTGAGTGTCCTGTGCTGGCAGCCAAATCCATATGCTTTTGGGATTGTGTGGCTGCCTATGACACTGACATATTCTGCCTTATTCTTCCTGGCGACCTGCATATGGCACTTCAGACAATACAATATTAGGATATTAGGATGTCAGTTCAATATCCTGTCCCTTTCCATAAACTACACACAATGCAATTGCCTTTCCAAAGCACCTCTGTCAACAACCCCTTAATACTCTAATAAAGGGTATTTTTAAAAATCATTAGTTTTCAATGACAAATAGAAGAGAAAATCTAGATAAAAAATTAAATTGTGGTGCTTAGTTTTGTACTTAGAGATTAGCTGCCTGGTGATTTAAAAATATATATCTTTGTTACTTCTTGAGTTAAGCACGGTGGCTTATAACTGTAATACCAGCACTTTGAGAGGCTGAGATAGGAAAATCACTTGAGGCCAGTCCAACCACAGCCTGGGCAACAGAGGAGACTCCATCTGTATCAAAAATTTAAAAATTGGGAGAGTGTGGTGGCATATAACTGTAGTCTCCACTACTTGGGAGGCTGAGGTAGAAAGATCAGTTAAGCCCAGGAGTTTGAGGCTGCTGTGAACTACAATTATGCCACTGCACTCACTCCAGCCTGGGCAACAGAATGAGACCCTAAGATATTTATAAATATCTTTATAAGATATTTATAAAACTTAATTAAAGCTTGCAGAGAGTGCCAGATTCTAACCACTAGACAGCCAGGAGGTGTCAAGATCAGTTCTATAGATTTACTGTATAACATATTTCCTATAGATAAAATACTGTATCATATCCTGAAAATTTACTAAGAGAGTATATCTTATATTGTGTTATTATCACAAAAAACAAAGGTGTTGGAAGTTTTAGAAGTTATTGCTATGTCTATGGCCTTGATTCTACTAAAGGTTTCACAGGTATTTCCTTATTCCCAAAGTCGTTAAATTGTGTACATTAAATATGTACAGCTTCTTATGTGTCAGTTATATCTTAATGACTTTTTTGTAGTAAAGCTTGTAGAATTGTGCCATAATAAGGATTCTCATACATACCATTTTCCAAAGAGTGACACAGAATTCTCCGCCTAGTACTTATGAACATATATCTTAGAAAATATATTGCATATTATTTTAAAATTAAATTATTATCGATCTCTGATTTAGAAATCTGTCCTATGATGTAATAAACATAAATTATGTTTATCTAAAAGGCGTTTTGTAAACTGCATTATTATTTAAGTATTTCAATTCTAAATAGTTTTGTTAAGCAATGATTTATGCTCTTTCTTTTAGAAAGGAAAGAACCACTACCTGTAGGGAATTTGTTTCGAGTTATTTTTCAAATAATGATGGATTTGCTGAGTTAACCACAAATAATGAGAAAACTTTGTTATAGCTTTGTGCTTATTATATTTTTTCTCTGTGTACGTTTAACTGAGACATATAAGAAGCAAACCAGCAGATATCACATCCTACCTATCATGTCAGAGGGCCATTAAGTGAGTTAAGTATGCCCAGAATACTCAAAGGTCAAACACAATTAAGTATAGTTGAAATAATTCTAATCGATGAAAGCTTACAGAGATCTACAGGAGTCAAAATGCCATCGTTTTTAGAAATGCAATAATGCTAGAGATTTACCTCCTATTTAGTCTCATTTAGTTAGCAGAAAAGAAGGTATCCTTTTTATAATTATAGAGATATTTATTTTAAAATTTAAAAAAGTCATTTTTAAGATCATTACTCATAATTTATTTGGAATAGTGAAGAACCAAGAGTTGTTCCAGGCCTGAAGTTTTATCAAACCATAGATTGTGCCGTAGGTAAGTGTGGATGGTGGTGTGCTCTTACAATCCCAGGCACTCAGCAAAAAGCTGAGGCAAGGAGTTGAAGACCAGCCTGGGCAACCCAGTGAGACCTTGGCTCAAAAAAATAGATTAAACTGTATCATATTCATGGTGTCCCATTATTTTATCCTAATCATGTGAATATTTGCTAAGTTCTTCCTTTGAAAAAAAAATCATATATAAGAAAACAGCTTTTTGGAGTTACTTAAAATATATATGGGTGATAATTACTCATAATTGCAGGCCTTTTTAAAACTATTCATTCCCATTTTCATTAAACTTACATGGGGATCCTTCTCAGTTTATGTTTAAAAGGATGTGAAAAACAAGATAGTCAGTTTATACAGGAAAAATATTTTCTTTGGAATCCTTATTAATAGAAGTAATCACATATAACTTTGAGTGCTTATAGACTTTATTGCAATAGAGTATGGGCCTTGCTATGGAAACTTGATAACAAAACTCTTGGTTTGATTTGTCAGCTTTCTTGTTCTGAAATGTCAAAGTCTAATAATATTCTTTCTTTTTCCCCCTGCAGTGGAACACCCTGACAAAATGGCTAATGACCAAGGTAAAGTGGCTCCATCTGTCCTTTGGTCCTCCTTGACTCAGTCCTATCCCTTGGAAATGTCAGTCATTCCTTTGTATTCCTCTTTTCACCTGGGCCACACACCTGATGAAGCAGACACTGGCGTGATGATTAATCTTGTTAATGAAGTTCTGCTTGGCTGAGGCTGTGGCTCTGATAGGGAAGATGTAAATTTTCTTGAGAGGAAATTGTTTTGTCTCTCTTCTGAAGGACCAATTAAAATGTCAAGCTTCTTTGTATGAAATAAATTTTTCGTCTCTGTCTGCACTTCTGAATAATTCACATTAAGTATAATTAAGCTCAGCATAATTTTCAAGCTGCTCTTCCACCCTTTCATGAGCTGTGGATTAAAGTTCTGTGGCGCTACAGAGAAAAACCATAAATTATATGTGCTTTTCCTCTGCAGCGAGCTTCTTTTAATAAATAAAAACAAAGTTGGAGCAACTTTTTTAGGGCATTATCATTGTTCATTTTGAAGTTGGAAAGCTCTTGTTCTGAGTCTGATACTGGTGTATTTCCCTCTTTCATTCTTTTCCCAAAAGTTGATTTGTAGAGAGAACAAGGAGGATTGGGCATGAAGTAAAAATGGAGATCAATAAGAATCGTCTACCCACTTATAGACAGATATGAGTTTTCTATTACCACGAGTGATGGACTGATTGATAAAGTAGGATTCTATGGTCTTTACACAAAGGACAATTAGTAGAATGCTAAGGGGAGTAAAAGAATAGTCTATGACTTTTGGTTTTGTGAGGATGTTATATTCTCTCAAGGGGGAGTTTGAAAATGCTAGGAGCTGGTTGTAGTCTGTGTTGTCAGTATTTATTGATTCAGAGTCTATAACTCATGTATTTTGTCTCCTGATCTGGACATCTGCTGTCAGCAGAATTTGCAAAATCATGTCTCTTAAGGAACCATGTGATGAGATTAGGGGGAAACTTTCTTTTCAGCAGAAATGCCTTTTAACTCTTGACAACTACTAAGCCTTTGCCTGTCGGCTCTCACTAACAGAAGGATGCCTCCATGAGTAGTTTTTTCTTCAGTGATCCTGTGTTTGAACCATGCCTGTATTTAACAGAATATGGCTAGGGTGTTACATGTAGAATAACAGAAGTTATACTGTACACAGAGATGTCTACCTAGTGCTGTGATTTCCATTCATCTGGCTGTCCCTGCTTCCTTCCACTGAAAATATGTTTTCATAAGATCAGTATCTACTAAATAGTAATATCTGAAACGATAGTAATGATGAGTAATTAGTGCTTGGCTTATCTTTATTTAGCTAATTTAAATTATTAGTGCTGGCAAAATCTAAACCTGGAATAATAGAAACTGTTTAATTATTTCAGTTATAAAATAATTGAAACAATCTCTCATAACTTTCTTCACTTAAATGAATTTGTAACTTCTATAGAGAGATAATGTCTAGTTTTTGAAATTATATTTGAAAATATTATAGAGAAAAAATTAGCAAAAATACATTTAAGGGATAACTGAACCAGTTCAAATGTTGCATTATTAACCACTGAGGTCTAGCAACGTACCCAAGCTTCTCAATAACTAGATTTTCCCTTCTCTATATATACCTTTTAATTGTTTTATTTGTTTGTTTGTTCCCTTTGAGACAGAGTTCCACTCTTTTGCTAAGACTAAAGCACAGCAGTGTCATCATAGCTCACTACAACCTCAAACTCCTGGCTCAAGCTATCCTCCTGCCTCAGCCTCCTGAGTAGCTGGGACTACAGGCATGAGCCACAGTGCCCAGCTAATTTTTCTATTTCTAGTAGAGATAGGGTCTCACTCTTGCTCAGGGTGGTCTCCAACTCCAGAGCTCACATATCTTTCTGTCTCAGTCCCCCAGAGTGCTAGGATTCTCTAACTTTTTTTTTTTCCTGGACCCTAGAATCTTTTTATAAGTCAAATCAGTCTTTCTGAGTTGATTAACATGTGCTGGAGAAATAACTTGTATTAAAGATCCTGCTAAGACTGATGAAAATAACAAGACAAGGCTGTGATTTACATTCCCCCTTCCAGCACATCGCAAATCAGTTGGATACGTTTTGTTGTGCCCACTGTTGGACCTGTTTGCCCCTTCCCAGGGAGAAATGATCCCACTGTTAGATTTGTAACAGGAGTGGAATTGCTGCTATGAGAAAATTGCCTCTGAGAGAAAATTTAGCACCTTGGGCTAGAGTTAACCTTACAAGGATGAATGGTAAATAGAGAAGCAGGAGGTTGAGTTTGACTTGTATGAAAGTGAGGAAGGTTTTGATTGTTCTAAATAAGTACCTTCTAGATTCTTTTTTTTTTTTTTTTTTTTTTTGGCCAAGGCTGAGTTTGAACCCACCACCTCTGGCATATGGGGCTGGCACCCTACTCTTTGAGCCACAGGCGCCGCCCAACTTTCTAGATTCTTGTCATAAATACTATTATAATTACTCAGAATCTAAGATCCACCATGAGGAACATAAACATGAAAACTAAAAGTTATATTAGGATCAGTTTTGATTTGAGAAAAATTATTTTCTCCTGATCAGTAGTACTAGTAATTTGAAAATAATAGACAACATAGAACTTTTAAACCCTTTATGTAATTGTGAATTGATTACATCTAGCATTTTTTAAACTCTCTAATCTTGACCTACTCTATAATTTTCCTCTTTGGTAATCCCCTTCTCTTTTACTCTGTGTCCTAATTATTTCTGTAGATTCCTCCAGGCACAAGTGGCCAATATATTTGGAAGTAACTTTGAGATCTTAGAGATTAACTACCATGTTTAATTGGGGGGGGGGTCAAGTAGGGTAGGGAAATTGCATAATCTGTGTGAACTGAAAAAAGGTCTAGCATGGATCTTGTTTTCTTTTCCATATTTTGATTACAACTCTTTCTATTAGTCTGTATCTGTGTCTGTGTGAGCGTGTATAGTCACAAAATGAACCCTGACGTAGCACTTCGCACCAGTCACTATTTTAAGAGCTTTGCATGATTCACTTACTTAATCTTCATAACAATTCTATGACAGAGATACTATTATCAGCTCCATTTTAGTGGCAAAAAAAGCTGTAGCTTAGAGAGTTTACATGATTTGCCTATGGAAACATAGCTAGTAAGTAGAAAGGCCATGATTCTAACCCAAGAAACCTGTTTCCAAACCCCTGTTTTTAAGCACCAAGTGCATTTATCAGATACATGTTACATATACATACATATATATGTCTGTGTGTGTATATGTATACACACATACTCACCCATACAAACATGTTTGACATACATCTGTAAAGTTTTATCTAGGCCAGACATGGTGTCTTGTGCCTATAATCCTAACACTGGGAGGCCAAAGCGGGAGGATCCCCTAAGCTCAGGAGTTTGAGACTAGCCTGAACAAGAGTGAGATCCCATCTCTACTGAAAATAAAACTTAGCTGTATGATAAAAATGAGTATTTTTCTTCTTCTATGGAGATGCCTAGTAATGAATGACACACCCCTTGGGTGCAGTACACAACTATAAGAGGAACTCTGCGTAACAAATGCAAACATTGTAGCCTCATTGTTTGTACTATCTAAAGTTTTGGGTACTGATATACCAATATGGACCCTCCTTTCCCTATCCTTGTGAATATTCTAAAGGATAAGACAAATACCTCTCAGCCTGGTGTATCTTGTTAGTGGGAAACCATAGCATTGAGTACATGATCCTAACACACCGTAATCTCAAGAAACATGGAAATCATGTTAATTTACTGTCTTAGCCAGCTTGTTCTGTCAATACAAAATACCATACACTGGGTGGGTTAAACAGTACAAACTTATTTTCTCACAATTGTGGAGGCTGAAAGTCCCTAACCAGGGTTTAGCTGGTTGAGTTTCCAGTGAGGGTGAGGGCTCTCTTCCTGGCCTGCAGACAGCCTCCTTCTCACTGTGTCTTCTCATGATGGAAAGAAAGCAAACATTCTTATATCTTTTCTGAAAAGGACACTAGTGCTATTGGTCAGGTCCCTACCCTTATGACTTTATTTAATCATAGTTACTCTCATAAAAGCCTAGTACCCAAGTACAGTCACATCAGGGGTTAGGAATCTAATATGTGAATTTTGCGAAGGACAGAATTCAGTCCATAGTATCCATTTTCAAAAGCAAAGCTGTTCTTTCACTCCTTTACTAAATATCTTACCAGATTTCCAGATGAAGAAGCAGAAGGATAATGTTTTACCCAAAGCCACACAAATAATCATTGGCAGAATTAGAAGCTAAAATGTTTTCTTCTCCTAGAGCAGTATTTTTTCAACCTTTTTTAACTCATGGCATACTTGAACCTATAGTTAAACTTCTATACTTGAACTTCTTTGTTGAAACTTAAATTATGTTGATCAAAAAAATAATTTAAAAAAGAAATATACTTACAGTGCTTTTAAGTTATTTCCGAAATAATTTAATTTTAGTTAATAATCTTTAAAAAGTTTTGCAGCATACCTAAAATCTTCACTGGTTGAAAATCGCTTTTCCAGAGTATGTGACCTTTCCACCATAGATTATGGCTATACTTTTAAAAAAATTGGATTTTTATTACTCTAAAATCAGCTTCACCTTTTTAGAGCTCCTTACAGAAGCATTTTTTTTAATTGTTTGAGATTCATTGAAGGTACAAAGAGTTAGGTTACACTGATTGCATTCTTTAGGTAAAGTCCCTCTTGTAATTGTGTCCCACCCCCAAGAGGTGTTCCATACACCGTGACCCCCATCCGCCCTTCTCCCCTCTCCCCACTTGCTAATTCCCCTACCCCCCACCTTGTATCAACTCATCTACTGCCTTCATATTAGATTGAGTACATTGGATTCTTGCTTCTCCATTCTTGAAAGAAAGTGTTAGATCAAATTTTTAATTTTCAGGTATTATTTTTATTTGTATCATCTTTATATTCTGTTTAACTCCCAAATATCATTCTCCACTTTGAAATGTGTATATGGGAGAACTGGTGATCT